CGCCCCCCCCCCCCCCCCTTATATCTATTTATACAACATTACACATTTAGATATTATTATTAAATCATATATATTTAAAAATGATTTTATGTCATAAATGCTTTTTTGTTTGAATGCAACTTTTGGTCGACCGCTGGGTTTTTCAATTTCCAGTACTGATACTGATATCTAGAGAGCAGGGTGTCCAAACTGAGATATATATATATATATATATATATACACAATAAAACCACCAAATGAGACATACAGAAAATTGCTATATCCAAAACGTCATGCTCTCTTTCTGGCAATAAAATGTGCAGAGTGGCCAAAACAGTAATCATTTGTTTGTTTCCTCTTCTCAGCTTCCTGTTCGTCGTTTGAATAGCACTGCTGAATCTCCATCAGGAGTTCTTCAAAGCAGTCAAGAAGATACAAGGTGCAAGGAAGGGAAAATGGTGCCGAAGACCAGGCTTGGGAAACGGTCCCCACTGGGCACCCTGGTGTGTGGTTCCTCAGCTGAGGGCCTGACAGAAACGGGACCCCTTGGATGCCCGGATAGTGGGCCTCACAGAAGAAAGCTTTACCCAGGACAGAAGGTAAGCTTTATTGTTGTAGATTTAATCAAAATATGAATGGGATTCTCAGGTGCGGTACACAAGGTTCAGCTTAGCCATTTCATGGTGTTTTACCTGATACGTTTCAGGTGTATGTGCACTGCGGAGGCCACGAATGTGGAGGTGTGGTCGAACAGCATAACCACGTGGACAATGAAGTGTCTATCTTCCTGCCGCAGCTCAACCAGCACGTTCATCGCAAGCTGGAAGACGTGTGGACGAGCCCCACATCCAGTCATACCTCCTCAGTCTCCTCGTCCATTGATGTGCCAAGAAGGTACGTCTTGTTATAGTTGTCGGAATGACCCTTTGAATGAGAAACACTCCTTTATAACTCTTTCAACACTGCAGGAGTCCAGAGACAGTGGACATGGATGAGATTATGGCTGCAATGGTGCTTACAAGTCTGTCGTGCAGTCCAGTCATCCAGCACTCAGCCCAGGGGAGCGCAACTCAAGGTTAGTAGAACATTACATTAATGTTTGTTTTTTGTAAAGTCACAAGCAACAATGCACTGCACAAATCTGGCATAAACCAGCTGAGATTACTCAACGCTTGCTGTGATAGGTGTTAGTCACCAAGAAGAAATCCTTAACAAATGCATATACGGTTTTCATTGGTAAAACGAAAAATTAGAGCTGCTAAAACAGGATTGCATATTATTGTGATTTTTTTTTTTAATCAATCCTGAAGGTCCAGAGTAAATAAGATCCTACGGCCTAAATTCTGAAACTTCTGAATAAAATATAATTATATAAAAATTAAATAAATTAGATTTTTACTGTTTTTGAAAGAATTCAAATAGGCTGCATTTATTTGATCAAAAATACAGTAAAAACTGACTTTGTGAAATACTGAAACAATTTAAAATAACTGTTTTCTATTTTAATATATTTTCAAATGTAATTTATTTCTGTGATGGCAAAGCTGAATTTTCAGCAGCCATTACTCCAGTCTTCAGTGTCACATGACCCTTCAGAAATCAATCTGATAGGCAGATTTGGTGCTCAAGAAACATTGCTGCTAAGTATTTTAGTGGAAATCGTGATACTTTTTGTTCATGATTCTGAATGAAAAGAAAATTTTAAAGAACAGCATTTATTTGAAACGGATATCTTTTGTAATATTATAAATGCCTTTACTGTCTCTTTTGATAAATTTAAGGCATCCGTGCTCAATAAAAGTATTAATTTCTTTAAAAAAAATCTTTGATCCCCAAACAGTAGTGTGTGTGTGTGTATATATATATATATATATATATATATATATATATAATTCATTATGTATTACATCAGCATTGTATTTATAGATTTTTTTTATAATATTTAAATAACTAATCAATTTATTTAGTTTGATAGTTAACATGTTGGACACATGTCCACTGGTATAAAGGACATTTACGTTTTTGATGAAGCTAATCTTCTCATAGAGGTCTGTTATTGTGTTTGTATTAGCTTCATGTGGAATAGAAAATGGTGGTGGCGAACTGTATGATGGTGGATATTGGAGCTGCGACCATGGAAACGGAAGCCCCGCCCCATCCCCACCCATCGCAGAGATGGACAAGAGCGCCCCTCACGTTGATGAAGGCCTGGACATGGAACTGGACCAAATGTTGTTTAATGAGCCAACGCCAAGGAAACGCAAGGTACATTGTAAAACCTTATAAAATTAATAAAACCTAATATATTAGGTATTGGTTTATGCAGCATGTAGCTTATCTTTTTCATGTTGTCTTCCACCTTCTAGAACTCAGTAAAAGTTGCATATCGGTGCTTGTGGCCAAACTGTGGAAAAATACTGACCACAGTAGTGGGCATCAAACGTCACATCCGAAATTCTCATCTTGGGTAAGCATCACAAGCACCATACGTTCTAACCAATGAATGCAGCAATCTGGGACATTTTTATTGTAATCACACGGCGTATTATGTTTCCTGCAGACAAAGTGATGAGCATTCCCAAAGGGAAGAAGACTTCTACTACACTGAAGTCTATCAGGACTTGGAACAGACCACTCCCTCTGGTGGCCACCGGCCCTCCTGCACTTCTCCATCCAGTCCCAGCCGGCACAGGCCCCCCTCTCCCACCACCCCGGAGATGCTCCAGCTCAGCCCACTCAGCCAGTCCGCCCCTGGCAGCTTCTGGCAGGTCCATTCTGAGCACTCTTACCAGGTGAGATGCTTGACATTGTTGTGGCGTCATTAAACAACATGTTTATCTTGAGGGTGTGTAGTGCCATCAAAGATCTTATCAGTGTCACATGTCACTTTTTGCATGTAAATGGACATAAATGAACAAAAATGGCCGAGTGTTTAATACGTTGATGTTGATTCCTCAGGCTCCTGCACCCGTTCAGGTTGTGACTCCGAGCAAACCAGTGTCTATTCCTGTGTCCTGTCATTGGACTCCATCTCTCACAGTTCACCAGAGCAAACAGGTGAACATTTCTTTATTAACTGATTCCATTATTATCTACAAGGCTGGAGAAATTTCAGCACAGATGTCCTAAAAGAGGCCTTTTCGCTGTGGATATTTATAGGTAATGAATTGGCTATGCAGCATTTTCTCTGAGGCTTTCAGAACATACAAAGCATCACGCGGTCTCAAAGACATTCTGTGTTTTTGCACTGAAAATGGGAGTGACATGCACATGTTGTTTTTGTGTCCTTTGTTCCGCCCACAAGAAATGTGGATGGTATTGCAGTGCCATCTAGTGGAGTTGGGGGACACTGTGTTCTCTTTGTCTGAACACATGCTTGTCACTAGGTTGAAAAATCAAAAATATTGTGGTCTTGTGTATTTTGATCTCGCTTTTCAGTTTTAAACCTCTTACTTGCTGATTTATATCTCCTGCAATAATGTATCATGTAATGGCCTTAATACATTTAATTTAAAGTTTTGCTGCACTGATGCATTGTTTGTACTGTAGAGTAGTGTTTGCAGCTGCAACAAACTGCAGTGCGTCATTCTGTGACTAATGGTGGTCTCTCTCTCTCTCTTTCTCTACCCTTCCCCAGGGCTCACCATTCCGCCGTCGTTCAGTGAGTGTTGGTGAACAGTGGCTCCAGAATAACAATGCCACCTTCAGGCCACTTCCTGCCAGTGTTTCACCTCCAAGAAACCATTGCACTTCAAGGTGGGATTTGATTGTTTCTTTAGTAATTATTCAGTCTCTTATGGTTGCTGTCAATCTTCATTTATAAACTTTGTTTGATTAAAAAAAAAATCTTGAGCTTGAAATCAGAAAATGATTGGCATTATTGTGGGCAGAGAAAAATAAAAGTACCTAATAACATCGTAGTAATAAATACAAAACTTGTACACACAGTACATTTAAAATTCGGATGGGTTAATTCTAGTCCAGTTAAGCTGGGATTGTTTTACACTGGTGGTAGGAGAAAAACACAGACATTCTGAATTCGGATGGCAATAAAACCACTGACTAGCCCCTGCAAATGTTGAAAATACCTTATGTTCCCATGAGAAACAATTACCGTCTGAATAGGGCGAATGTTGAAAACAGTTGTGCTGCTTAATAATTCTGTGGAAACTGTATTACATTTGTTTTCAGGATTCTTTAATGGTTAAAAAAAGTGTTTATTTTTTAAACCGAAATCTTTTGTAATAATCTTAAGTCTTTATTGTCAATTTTGATGAAATAGTGTATAATCTATCAGTGCTGAATAAAAGTATTAATGTCTCTTTTTTTCATCATATTGAGCCCAAACTTATGAACTGTAGTGTAAATTATACAGTTCACCATTAATTCACCTGTGTTTGCGAATAGCTTTTCATATTGTTTTGTTGTATTCAGATGAAATGTTAAATTTAACTCTAAATTTATTTCATACTAACAGGAGGATTCGGGGTGAAGCCAAGAAATGCCGGAAGGTGTACGGCATTGAACACCGAGACCAGTGGTGCACCGCCTGCCGCTGGAAAAAGGCATGTCAGAGATTCCTCGACTGAATCCTTCTTTAGATTGATGGAAACAGAACACTAACCTTATAGAGACCCACAAGAGGGGATTGTACCTGGAACTATGGTTGGAAGAAACCAAAAGAGCACCTTTTGTGACTTAAGACTTTTTCAGCTTTCATTACAATTGCGTGTTTTTTTAAAAATGTGCTAAGGAACCATATTGATGCTGCAGTCTTCCTGCATCTTATATCAAGAACTGACGAAGTCTGACCTTCCTTTTACAAGTGGTATGCAGCCATATACAACAGCAGCAGTCATATACTTTTTGTTTAATGTGGTTTGTACATTGTCGTCATCAGACATATGGAAATTTTACTTATTCCAATTTAATAGCTAATATGAGACAGGAGAGAGGTCTTTACCGCGGGCTATTGCTTTCAGGGGCAAAATTGGCAGCTTATGCTTAATTGTAGATAAACAAGAAAGCAGAGTAAATGTTTCAATAGCATATAATGTTTATATTCATGTATGCCATGTTTACCTGCTGAGAAGCAGCTTTTTCTTTGATTTCCAGCACAAAATTTTGTAAAAAGAAATGGGAAGAAAAAAGTTTTTTTTTATTACGATTTTGATATCTGTGACGTGTTAAATTCTGTCGTGTCATTATCGGTGTATTACTATGTCACAGGGTATATTTCTGTGGAATGATATGATTCACTTATCTGTCACATCGATACTAACGAAGTATCTGTGCAAACATGCATGATCTTATGCCATTATTCATTTACTTTTGTGCTTCTCGCCCCAGCCTGCTCACTCGCTGTTTGGAATGTGTTGTTGCCAAAGATAATCTCAGCAAGATAATACATCATATACATCTCTGCATAATAATGTGAAATGAATCTGATGGCCATTTATGTGTTACCAATTGTTTGACTGGTTTATACTCTTAATACTGGGTCCAAATATTTTCTTATTTTGTAGAACACTTCTGTATGTCATCTTTTTTGTTTTTATCTGTAGCTCAATATATTTTGCAAAGCATGATGCTTTGACATCATGAAACTGAATGTACCTGAAGATCTCCATAAGTCTTTATGAACTTCTGACAGTCAGTGTCATAGCTGTTTAAGCACATCCTAGTCTGAGAGACATTCAATGAACCACATAGAGAACAATCTTTTTGTACATTTTTGTAAAGTACTTCCCAAGTATTTCCTTTTATGAAAAGTCATAAACTGAGATCTGTTCAAGATAAAAGTATAATTTCTTTTCATGAAACTTATGTCACTTCATGCCTTTTATAAATAAACTTTTGTGTAAACAAGTACAACCGACAGTATTGCATTTTAATATTAATACTTTTGAGGATGACTAGGCGGAGTGCTTTCAATATGCAATAAGGTTAACTGTTGGAAAATATTTCATTATTTATGTTTGAAATCCAAATGAATGATGAACAAAATACTTCAGGACACACAATCATTTGCTGCATGACAAGCCACAGAAAATAGTAAACTATTTTATTGACATAGTTCAGTTACTATGTACAGTTCATTTAGTGAAAACCATGAAGTTTATCATTAGAATAAAGGGAAAAGCATGATTTTGCAATGTTTGCATAAATACATTTCATCTGCACAAATACAAATCAATTTTATCGGTTAAAAAAAATTCAAATGAATGCTTTTGGTTTCCCACTCTTAGATGAGGACGCAAACTCAGTATGCATGTGCATGACTGAATTTGTTATGTTTGTATAGGCATATTACAGTTTTTGCTGGAATGGTTTATGCGAAATCTGGCTTTTATTAATTTTTTCGGGAGAGACAGTAAACCGATTAGCTTTCTTTAATCCCCTTAAAGGAATAGTTCACCCCCAAATGAAAATTATAGCAATTGCTTATGCTCATGATTCTGATCCCATTTTATTTGATTTCTTCCTTAAAACACAAAAGGAGATGTTAAGCAGATTGTTAAAGCTGCTCTTTTCCCCAACACACTCTCATGGCAATGAATACGTTTTGGTGAATTGGTGGCTAATTCATATGAATTTGTACAATCTCATTCATTTGTTTTTGTACAATCTGTTTACGCCCCAGTGATTGCTTAGGGGTGAACCTTCATGCTTATTTTTTTTTCTAAAGAAAAAAGCCTAAATTTACTTTGTAGAAATTCATATGAAATTGTCACTTTTTAAAAACAGCTACGTTTAAAAAAAAACTTTTTTAAAGAGTTACGTAGTAAACGTTTTAAAAGTTTGCAAACTTACATTTTAGTCTGTTTCTCATGCTTTCATTAGGCTTTAATGCTGATTTACGTTCCATTTGGAGCTCTAAATTATATAAGGTTGAGTGAGCCTTTTCATTTTTGGTGAACTATTCCTTTAATAATTCTATTTTGCCTAGTAATTACCTCTCTATATGACATTCCACCTCAATTTCAAGCATTTTCATGGATATTTCATTATGGGAACTCTCATTGACCAATAGATGGCAGTGTCGTAAAGGAGATGAATTTGGAACTGGTAACGTTTTCAAATGGTCTTCACACAAATTAAACTACAGGGGCCATCATATACAATACCAATCATCTAATGCAATCTATATATGTCTCAAATCGAATCTGAAGAGTTTTATTCAAACGTCAAGCTAATATCACTTAATGTAAGCTTTGTTTGACACAGATTAGATGCTTCATTGAGTAAATGCACATCTAACCCTGTGGCACTATGAGAGCTTTTTGTGTTTGAGGAGAATGGTGCATGATATCTTTTGAATGAGCAAAACAAATGATTTGCTTGGTAAGTTTATTCACTTCAAAGGTCAAAGCTTATTCATTCTGTTGGGTGACATCAGCAGACATACTATTAAACTCACTAGCTCGAGTACTCATGCCCAAATACTGCTTGAGAAACTCGCTAAAACGCTTCTGGTTGTTCCACTTGCGGGCGGATTTGCGGACGCCTATGAAACCCCCATATCTTTTTTGCAAAGACCTTCCAGGATCCATGAACTTCCTGTAGCCATACTTGTTTTTGAGGAAGCCTCCAAAGCGTTTGATTAGGTGGACGGCAGCCTCTTCCTCATCGCCTTCCATCTCACTATCTCTATCCCGCTCTTCCTCAGATTCTTGTGCTGACTGTACTTGCAGGAACTTGTATTTTTTACTGAGCTGCATATCTTGGTCCTGATCGTCCATTCCCAAGGCCCGTGTTATGTGGTCGAACCTCTGGAGGGTTTCAGAATACTGCCCATCATCCTGGTCCACAGGCAGAGAGATGTCCGCTTCCTCCTCTGCTCTTTTCAGCATGCCATTGCCAACCGATAGCAAGGCTTTTGGTTTCTGCTCCACAATGGTCCTGCGACACATCTCCCAGGTGTCGCCTGGAGAAAGTTTACC